AGTTTCGTTTATTTACATTTAGTACTATCTAATTTCACTTTATTTTCCACTTTTCGCGTAGATTTTTTTTTTTAGCGACTAATTCCTGCAAATGTTTTTACAATACAATTGTTGTGTTTTTAGCACTGATGCACTTATTTTTATCACTTTTATTATATAAAAATCCAGGAGTGATTGACAGCACGTCTTCACGAGTACTCGCTCCGCTCTTGACTCCTACACATTATATTACATACATTTTCTATACCTTGGCCACCATAACATAAAGTTTAAAAGGAACACCGATATCTTAGTAATAAGGAAATTTGAATTAGTATAGAAACAATCTTACCAATAATCCTGGTATAGACTTAACTTACTTAGGTCCCCGAATCACTAAATTATCACAATCTCATTTAATTTAAAGATTTATCATATATTCATTATTGACTAGTTCACTTGAGATCAATAACCATAAATTTTACTATCGGTGTAATTGATTGCATATTCTAAGATAATTTTATTCCTATGAATATATGTATGACCATGTTTAAGTCAATAAATTAATACTGGCCTTACTTGAATCATAAATAGAAAATATTTATTGAGTTTTATTATAATTTATTTGCAAGCTTTAATCTTACCAATAATATAAATATAATTAAACCGATTAAAATCTTCTGATGTACTTAGTTGATTAGTTATCACGGAGGTCCTGACATAAGTTTATAGTAAAATGATAATTGTTTTAAACACGCACAAAGCTTATTATCTACTTGCGTTAAAATATATACACAAAAATGTACAGCCCCATTGAAGGGCTGCGGACTGTCAAACATTATAAGTATAGATTCCTAGTTCTCTTACAATTTCACAATTCTCTGTAACCATGTCAGTCTTTTATATTGTTTCATTTGTTTAGGCATAAAAATTATAATAATTTTAAAAACCAGTTACGAATTTAATTTGTCAGAGTATACTTGAGCCTTCCTTACTTAAAATAATATCCAGAGAGATAAGTTATACCGACGCTTCCATTCATACCTAGGATATCAGTGAAAATCTGCAAACCCATCTGACTCGGCGGAAAATCCTCAAATAAACTCGAAAGGTCGCCAACAATGAACGCGCACATACAAAAGGTTTATTTTGAAAGCTTGGTAGCCCGGATAAGTTGAACAGTACTCGCTTAATGTCTGCTGGTTATCGTTATAAAACTGTGCATTATATAACTTTGGTCTTAAATAAATTAAGATATCAATTTAGAAAATTTTCTTACTTATGTCATTCTATTCCTCTTTTTTATAACTTAATTTTTTTCTTTATACTTAATTTATTGGTATCGTTTAGGATATGTTGTTTAAAAGATATCTGAAGTTATTTTTAGCTAGTTGTTTGATAAAACAGTTAATTTGTTATCAGTAGAATTTTTGAATTAAAGTCCCTGTAAACTTGAAACTTAAACTATAAATAGTATAGAAGTATTTTTACCCTCGACTTGCGACTCGTCCAAACTTCATACATATTGTATTCGTGTTTTTGCACATAAGGCAATAATATAAAGTAAATAAAATAGTAAATATAAAGTAATTTATTGAAAATGCCACATACAATTTTCTGCAGTGCTCGATACCTGTAAACTCATCTCCTAATAAAGGCTTGAGAAGGGATTTAATGTTTTGTCCTTATCACTCACACGTAATTTGTAAATAAATACGACAAAACGTTTCTATCCATTTGAGACTAACAGTTTAATAGGTATTAATGTTACAGTTATTTTTATTATTGACGTCAATAATATAGTGACATAAATACGGAATATGGGTAAAAATATCGCATATAAATACTTCAGAATATGAAAGTCATATTCTAATATTTTTATTCCTTTGTCCTGTATTCACGTATTTGCCTAAGTGGTTTATGGAACTTACAAAGGGGCTTAAGCTTTCTTAAGGGATTTTAAGGAATAAACCAACAAGGTAGAAATGTTCCTACTTACGTTCATAGTCTTATGAGGTACGTACTAACTTTCCGTCTTGAAAGATTCAAAAGGCCAACAAATCAAAACTGTTTTATAATTAACTTTAAAAAACGTGATATTGACCATTTACTTCGGAGAAATATATTTTCAAATTTGTATCCTTTATGCTACTGAATACTGTACGGAATATTATATAAACTTTATGTAAAATATAATATATATAGAATAATAAAAATGTATACTTTTTTCTTAAGAACTTAACAAAAGTAACACTATTTCACAATTAACCTTTTCGCCTAAACGCTCAATTTATTTAAAAAAATGCCAATAATGCCGTAACTAAAACAAGTGAGCTAAAGAATAAAACAATTTATATTCTTGATAGGCCGTGACCAGTCTCTGAAATTAAAATGTCACTGGTTCATTAAAATCGTCTCGAGATACTGAAGGGACTATTAAAATAACTCTTGGGCAATACAAATTATGAAAGGACAAACTAAAATAATTCTTTTGGCTAACAAACTTCAATCAATATAGAGGTTAATTAAATCTCTGAAGTATTTTCGGACATACGAGTATGCCAGTACGAATTTATGATATTTCTACACGCATACAATGAATTCGGGACACAGAACAGATAAACTCTATTACAAGTACGTATGTCTTATATATTTCCTAATCCAAAGAAAGTTTTTTTGCCGTGTAGAGAATACCTATGGGGATTAAAAAATAAGACTGATGGACGGTCCATTGGTAAATGTCTAAAATTATTTTTATTTTTTTCAAATTTGATGTGTTTGTTGCAGAAAAAGGTTTTCTATCGTTCCTCACAAATGCAGTGCCGGCATGTGGTGTTTAATAATAATTATTCGGACAAAACTTACTGACTGTAGTTTTAATGTATGATATCAAGTAGAAAAATATAATTATGTTACCTTATCTTTTATCACATAAGATCTCAAAGCTTTTAACTATATGGACGTTCTGTCATAGCTTTATTACATTTGACAAAAATTACATCAATGAAACAATAAGTGTCTTTGTGGGAAAATCACTCCTATTTCCATACATCCCGGACAAATACCCATTTCGAAACATTTCCGACCTTCTGACACAGGGGAACATAATGTCGTATTCTCCTTGCTAATAACAGCAGCTAATGACACATCATTAGAGGCATTTGACCCAAATTTCTTTATGTTTAACATAAATACTTTGAATTGGCGGAAATGACAACGGAACCTACGTTTTTAAGGCCTTTTGATGGATACATTGTATAATTAAAGCATTTCAATACTCATATATAGTCTTCAATAATATAAAATATTAATTTATAACTTGTGCTAAAACAATTCATAATAATAACAAACACTATTTGTATTGATACATAATATTTAAATTAATATTTTGATTACCACAAAGTGCCTATAGAAATATAACTCACTACCAGCTTGTCAGGGTTCACACGGCGGGACATTTATTTTAAAAATACTTTGAAATAAATAGTGCCTATGTAACTCAAGGATAATGTAGCATTTTAATGGCATTTTTTTTAATCAGAGCAATCGTTTTAAGTTTGACTTAATTAGATACTTACATACAACAAACAAATATTTCCTCTTTATTATATTAGTATAGATATAGTATATAATGTTTTAAACAATCCACTGTTTACTTACTAGTCTCTATGCAAAATATGTAATCCCATCGCGTGATGTTACTGTCGCTTATCCAAATAAAATGAAAGATTTCCCACGAAACTTATTTCTTCGCAATTCTACCCTCGTTTATTTCGAAACATGTCAGCGTCAGGCCGAGGTCACTGTCTATGGCAATTTGCGATCAGATATAGTTAGTGTTTTTGCTGAAAAATTGGTTTCTAACTGAAAGGATGTATGTATAAGTCGTATTTTATTTATGCTGGGATTACTTAATACAAATTTTATTTTAAGGAATTAGAGAAATCATTAATTAGTAATTGTTCCATATTTTTTTAGTAAGTTTATAAGTATTGAATCTATGTAAGTTTCCATTAATTATAACCTATTTTTTACAATAGAAACATTGTTCGTCGCCATATTCGGTTGGTTCCGCGCGAGTAGGGTAGAACCCCTAGGGCTAAAGTTATAAAGGCTTACTATTGAAATAATAATTCTATATGTTCAAGTCCCTTGGCAAAATAATAGTTAATTTGATTAAAAGAAAAAAACATTCATCAATGTGATTTGAAATATTGAGTATTATTTGTTGTTTTAAATGTTAAATTTCAGTTTTCTTTATATAGTTTTGTCTATTGATGTACCTACCGATTTGTTTTATTTTTCGTATATAATATTGTTTATCTATGTAATCTGTTTTGGCTTTCTGTACTGTCTAAGTGTTTGTTTTATAATACTATGTATGTTAGCTGTAAGATTACTTATAATTAAATAAATAAATGAAAACACAAAACTCTGCTGTTTTAAGATTTCCCTATCAGTTAATCTTAGCCATATACTATTATTTTAAAATCTACTTATACAAGTTTCTGGCGCTGTTCCCTTGTGGCTGACAAGGTGACAAAGATAGAAGCGTCAATACATTTTGCCAAATGAATAGTCGAGACGCGGTTCGCTCGTAAACCCGCGATCATTAACTTTAATAGATCAAAGCGATTCTGTTAGACACGTGTAGTACGGTCGTTCGGTCAAACGAAATTGAACACTGACATTATAATTAATTAATAATATCGGATGCTACAGTGCGTGCTTATTGAGAAAGTAGTCGATTTTGTAATCTTTAAGAAATGTTTACTTGTGTGTAAATATCATGATGTAACCCTTACTAAGAGAACACTTATGTGTCGCTGTAGATAGTAGGAAAACAAAAATTACGTAAGATCTAAATCTATTAACAATAAATTTATTAACAATGACATATGTTTGTCCTCAGGTATATGTGAAAACGGTGAAACGTAAATGTCCCCGTACCAAGTGTTTGTGTGATCGTGGATGAGGTAACAGCTACCGAGCTGGCGTGGTACGGGGCCGGTGGGGGCGCCATGCAGGCGGGGGGCGGCTGGTTCGTCCCGTGGACTATGGGTGTGCAGAAGTTTGCAGTGGCATTGCCCATGGGCGGCGTAATGCCACTTGTGCCACCGTTGCTGGCCGCCATGCCTCAGGCGCCTCCGCCTTTGCGCCTTATAGCGCCTCTGCCGCATACGCAGTCTGGCAGAAAGGTAAGCAAGAGTTAGTTTAAAAAAATTGTTTATTATTTCCTTTGCCTGGTATTTTTTTATTATTTTTGTAATGCTGATATTTTACTTGTAAATTGTTATTATTTTATTTATGAAGTAATGTTAACATGGAATTTTATCAGAATATCAATTGATGTATTATTAAATATGTTAGCTGCCGTAACTGCCACCAGGTCAAACAATTGGAAGCACTATAAAATTCTTCGATATTAATATTGACACGTTACCGATATTGGCAAATTGTCAAGTTAATATCACAATGAGGAATTTTTCCCTTGGGCGAGTAAATAAAAAATTGAAAAGGGCCTGATATTTGTATATTAAATTAATTTGTGAGCAGTGTTGGCCTAGTGGTTTCATCGTGCGATTCTCATCCTTGAGGTCGTAGGTTCGATCCCCGGCAGTGTACCAATGGAATTTATATTTATGTGCGCATTTAACATTTGCTCGAACGGTGAAGGAAAATGTCGTGAGGAAACCGGCTTGTTTTAGACCCTAAAAGTCGACGGTGTGCGTCAGGCACAGGAGGCTGATCACCTACTTGTCTATTAGATTGACTATAAGACCATGAAACAGATACAAAAATCTAAGGCCCAGACCTAAAAAGGTTGTAGCGGCACTGGTTAAATTATTTTGAAGGTATTTTAAAATATTTATGACAATGGTTTGGTATTACTTTGTATGAATGTTGGAATTATTTTTAATTTATCTAATTAAAAATAATTCCAACATTAAGTCAGTAATTAAGTCTAACGAATAAAACACTAAATTAAATTTTATCTCTGTGTCAAAATACTCCTGATAGACTGGCTATTTTTTTTAAATCTACGTTCGAGCGATCAGGGGCATTTCACAAAGCCTAGTCCTACAACCAATTTTCACATATGCATTCAAAGATACATTTAATTTGTCATTACTTAAACAATGGAGTTTTCTCTTGTGAAGATACAAGTGTGAAGATTTTATTTAAGATTGCATTATGTTGTAATTTGTAGTTCGTGCGTACATCCCTCTATTCAGCTTGACCTAAAAGTTTTTTTCTCTTTATAGTATTTCATTAAATAATATTACTTCGCAGAGTAACTGGGATATGATTTGCTATGTACTAGTAAATAGGATAATTTTTATATAATACACTTCAGTTTACCAGAGATGATTTGGTCAGTAATCAAATGATTTTAATGTTTACAAAACTATTATTGAAGACTCACTACGGCCTATAAGATTTATTGCTCCTGTGCCTGCATATACATACACTTGTACATTATATCTACCGTGTAGATGGAATGTTTCAATAGAGATTGGCAACTATGACCTAATTGTTATGGACGTTTTAAAGCATTATTCGTGTTTGGAACTTTTTGAATACAAAAGTCTTATTTACATAAATTATCACTTATAAAACTTTTCTCATGACATTTTAACTATATTATTGTTTTTTGTTTTATTGTCACATTGACTATAAAATTTATTACACTTTATTGTTTGTTTATTAAAGTGTTCTCACAGTAGCGATTAAATAATGTCAACGATAACATTATATTAAATTATGCGTTAAATTATACACTATATAACTATAACCTTCAGAAGTTTTTATTTGACGAAAACCTGTTTAATTTGCATAACAAACACACATCAATAACAAAACACATTTGTGTGCGAAAGCTCCCTTAAAAGCTCTGCATGAAGTGCGTAATATTGTATACCGAGAATCCTAGTAAAGTAGGTTGTTAGCTTTATGTGCGGCGATTTTTGCTCACGTTTAATAAAAAGCTTATACGTAAGCTCCGCAACAATTGGTTTTTGCTTCTGCGGTGCAAGTAATAGACGATTTCTCATTAAGATTTAAATGTTTATCTACTGTGGTATTGAGAGACGTTTATTAAGAGGTAATGTTTACGTAAGCCATGTATAGGTTCACATGTATCCAATCAAAAGATTAAAAAGTGTTTCGGGCTAATCGTATTTTCATTTTCGTTGCTAAATTCCTTAGAACTGAGTTTAATTATTACTAGTCAATCATTAGAGACAATTTAACGGGTGACTTTACTCTGTTATCATCATCATAAATCACCTTGATTTTGTTATTATTAATCTATCTTAATGTCGTCTCATATTTGAATATAGAGAATTATTACTACAATTAAGCACTGGAAATAGAGTTATGTCTAGGAAATCAACAAATTACACAGAAACTTTGATGTTTTTAATTGTGCGAGCCACAGCTAAAAAGCTTCTAAGCTTGAAATATAAGCGTCGCGACTGAAAATTTTCTCAGCTATTTCAAACATGATTTAATGCAATGTATGCGTGTGAGCATTAAATATTTATTACCGTATTTTTTCAGTATTCAGCGACTATACGCTTTAAGCTTATAAGATAGACCAATTTCCAACGAGCTGTTGTGCGTTTAATAGACGCCATCTAGTGATCGGATTATCTTTGTTTGTCTTCTAAGACGGCAGATTAGTTTTTGCTGGCAACATGTTTTTAAATGGGACAGGTTTTCCTTGTTTAGCTATTGATTATTTTTACCTTCTGTTTATTGATTACGTATCCTGTGGGACGTTGAAACAGAATGGTTGATTTATTTAGGATATCTTTTAATGAACGCCCAAATATATATTATTACAAATTTGTATTATTTTATACAAATTTAGTTTTTTCACGCTGAAATCTTGATTAATGTATTGAACTTTAACACATTAAATATCACAGGTGACAATTATCTATAATATAAAAATGAATCGCAAAATGTGTTGGTAAGCGCATAACTCAACAACGCCTGGACCAATTTGGCCAATTATTTTTTTATAATATTCCTTGAAGTACGAGGATGGTTCTTACGGAGAGAAAAAAATTAAAAAAAATTGAGAGAAAAAGTCTAAAAACAACACTTTTCTATATTCCCATACAAAATATTCGTAATAATACTTAAAGTCAATTTGAACTTTAATACCATACTATAAAGTTTAAGTGTTAGTGGAGGGGTTCCGGGAAGGTAAATTTTTATTTTTTGACATAATGTATTTGTTGTCTTATCAACTTTCTTTTTTTATCTTACTAGCTAGATCGGTGTCCCGAATAGCAGAATAAGTATTTAAAAAAAATAAAGAATCGACTGTTAGGCGGTACGACGGTCGCCAGGCCAGCTAGTATGAAATAAATATATACTGAGAGAGAGATTTACATCACTTTTTAAATAACTACGTCGCCTGCTTTTAAATACTCTCTTATTTATATCTCTCTTTAGTGTTATAACACATACAAAACCGGACAATTTAAAAAAACGTATACCTCTTTACTTATATTATTTCTCAGATTTGTATAAATAATCCACAAACGAGTATTAGAAACGTATTACGGACACTCAATCGTTATCAAGATCTCGGATGTGAGTTATCGAGATCCAGATTAAACTAGACCTAAATTAGTCCCGAATAGGCTCCTGTCGAGATAAACTCTCTGACAAATTACTAAACTGTTGCGCTGCTCGTTAAGAAATTGTTCTTGTTTCTCTATTCTGTTGGCGCGGTAGTAAAGCGTGGGCCTCTCGACCAAGAGGCCGCGTGTTCGAACACAGCTGTGAGCCAATGAACTTTTCATTCTATGTGCGCTATTCATCTTTACGTAGGGTAATAAAAACATTGTGTAGAAATTGCAAATAGAAGCAAATATCTGTAAAGCGGGAGCAGGGGTTACGGGATTTGGTACAAATTCTTTAACCATTTTGTCTTCGTAACATGTGTCATATATGGCATAAAGATTTATTAATAATATATATTTTTGAGATTTGTGGCTAGATGTGGCTAGATCACGCTGTACAAATCGGCCCCTTGGAGCTCGCATAGATCCTTAAAGAAAAGATATCAAACAGATTTTAAAGGCTATAATTTATAAAATAAATTATTAATAAAGAATTAGTTGCAAAGCTATAACTCATTAAATAAAGTATTGTTTACAAGACAAGATCAAAAATGGGCAGTTTTAGCATCTCAATTATCTATAATAGTCGTGTAATATATCATCGAAATTTAAATAAAACCACAGCAGGCAATTATCAGAATTTATTGGTCCCGCCCACCAATTAGCAAATTTTTTAGCAATAGCTTCGACCACCTTTGGTTATAAGCTTGAACTCGGTTATTTGCTATTGTGATAGCAAATAGAGGTCTTTCTTAATTGGTTTCAATAATGCATTCACCACAAACAAAACCGCAGGGTATTGCTATTATTATAAACGCAATTAAAGGCCGTGGAAAAGGGCGCTTTGTATATCACAATATATACACATAACATTACGGCAAATAGTATTAAACATAGACACGTTAAAAATAAATAGTGCTTGGAAATTGTCAATGCACCTGCCTTAAAATATACCATTTATTTATTATTATATACATCCTACTTATTTTTTGCGAAAGTTTGTAAATATGTATGGATGTTTGTTACTTTTCACGTAAAAACTACTGAATGGATTGTAATGAAACTTTACAATAATATAGCTTATACATCAGAATAACACATAGGTTACAATTTATTGTGTGAATTGTCCAAAATATCAAGTAAATAGGAAAAAATAAAAAAGTTTGATGAATAAGACGCAAAAATATGTCTAGCGGTGGTTTGGATTTTAACAACTATACTAGTCTGTCAGGACGTTTTTAGCCTCTTCAATTATATTTCCAATATTAACATATAACTGATCAATGGCGGCATTAAATGGTGGTATTAAAGTTATAAATCACGTGGTAATAGCCGGGAAGCCTTTGAGAATTGTTCGCTAACTCACAAATTAATGCGGGTGCTGTCGATCGCAATACGGTTAGAATATATACATAGTAAAACGTTTCCATCATTTCAAGTTTCGTTTTTTAATACGATATACTAAGTCTAAGGTTTTAAATAGCTATTTAAAAGAGATTGCAGTATCTTTAACCAATGTTTTATATGTATTACCTAAAACGAATAAATACTTTATACTATTATTTTTAAGACATAAAATTTATAGATTTATCAAATGCTTCACTATGTTACTTTACTTTACATAGAATATAGAAAAAATTTTTTTTGCACTATGTCCTTAATTTTATGAAAAGCTTTATTTACAAGAACGTGCAGTTCATACTTAATACCATCTAACAACCCCTCGCAATTTTCTTACGACATTAATAAGATAACAATCTAAATTCTATTTAATGATGTTGCTGCATAATATTATAATACTACATAGGTACGCTTTTAATTGGTGGGGAATCTTAAACTGTCACGATGCTTAAGCCAAGATTAGTGGCAGAAATATAATTTCTACCAGTTTTTTAAGATATAGAAATAGTTTCTGAGTTTACATTACACCGATTGTATTTTAAATATGGAAAAACTTTATAAAATTTGGAATTAATAATATTCAAATTTATAAACTTTATTATATGTGAAAAATGAAATAATTTTAATGTTATACAGATGAACGTACGTACAGCTATCGTTTTCATAAAATCTGTATTATTTCAAATCAATTTGATAATTGTAGTATTTACAAAATAATCTATTCAATTTAAATTCGGATACCCATTATAGTATTATAAACGTGATTCTAAAAGTATCTTTGTCATAATCAAACAACGTAGTAACCCTAAACTAAGCTTCAAGTTTTAAAAATTTATCTCTCAGTCTCGCTGGAGGGCTAACAAGTATTTATCTCCAAAGTACCATTTCCTGTCGCCGTTCAACATTACTTTATGAATATAAGAAAGCTTTGCAATATTTTAAAGCGTGCTATTTAAGTATTTCTATTAATATTCAAACACCTTGCGCTTGCTTATTTATCAGTACATGTCCGGGCATAATAAGTTTGCAACTGTGTAGGATTAGTTTTTTTTCATAATGATTTATAGGCATTGCGTGTTATCTTTTAATGGTAATTCGTTTTATGTCGGCTACCTTGCTTAGTAAACTGATACTTTTTCTATTTATTAACATTCGAACTCTTTAATAAGAAGATGAAATGTGTTGCATAGGCAACAAACTTAATAGAAAATTTTGTAACAGATTTTACTCTGACACGAAGCTTGAATAACTAGTATGTGACTATATTATGAAGAACTATAGTCTGGTTTAAGGTTGGTTTTTTCTTGGCAAAAACTTGATAAGGCAAAAACGAACAGTTAATTTTTTGTTACAGTTGCGATCTCGCGGGATTATTTCTTATTACAAATCCGTCCCT